TTTCAACACAGACCCGTCCTCGCTCGTGAGCTAGGTGTCAATCATAGTCTGCACGGACCGGCGCGGTCATTGTTGATATGCTGGAGCTGTCTATGAGCAGAATGGCGTCTAAGCGATTGTGGTGTTCTGTTCTTGGGTGTAATAACGAACACAGCAGTCATTTTAATGTTCCTAAATCCGAACCGCCGAAGACGCAGTGGCTGAGTATTCCCCACGAGCAACGTCAATGCTCTCATGTTTGCGCGAATCATTTCACACACCAGACTGCTTTATAAACGAGGAGGTATAAAGCTGGTTTTGCTAAGAAGCTGCTCCTGAAAGGATCGGTACCAGCTATTCGTGTTCCTGCAGCTGCTCCAGAAGAACTGAAGTGAGTGTAACGTTTTATTAAACTTTATATTAATATTTATATTAATCCTTGTAAATCGCTAGCTGCACGCTTCACAATGAATGCGTCTAAGGTTTACACTCAGGGTACATTACGGCATGTTTTCTATGTATGACGTTCTCAATATAATGCATAATCCCACGTTTATACTGAACAACGTGTTATGGTAATTGTGTTATTGTGTTACAAACGGTGTACGCCAGAGCCGGCTCTGGTGTACGCATAGAACAGAGAGGCGGAGTCAGCAAAGCTCATGATCATTTAAAGTCATATACACTGAAACGGCGTGCTGAAAACAGAGCTGTTTTTTACCAGGTAAAATAAGTGTTTTCTGACAATACTAATGAGAATTTTTAATTAAAGTATATTACAAACTTTTAATTTAGACCCTAAAGAATCATATTAGCTTGTACAAAAATGGCATTATATGACCCCTTTAATATTCATATTTTAGTTACATTTTATTTATTTATTTTTCATTAAAAAAACATCTATAACGAATGCATAACAGCAGCTTACTTTCCAATGATTCTCTTCTTAATGACATCAATTCTGACTGGTGGTAGCTTTTCAGGGATGTCCATTTTCTTCTGTCGGGCTGGTCTAGGAGCCTGCCAATCCTTCTGAGAATACAAGGAAAGGTCCTTGAAACACTATGGAAGTTAATGTTAAGTTAAATATTATCCAAAAAGGCTCAAGGTGATTAAAATCTGTCACAGTGTCAGGTCTCACTTGGTGTCTTTTGACTCCTTTTCCAATCTGTTGCTCTTCCCACATCTGCTGGTCTTCCTCCTCCTGGCTATCAGAAAAACTCTCGTCACTATCACTTCCTACAGAGCACAAACACAGAACAATCCATCTCTCTCCCAACTACTTTAGTAGTGATTTAATATACACAAGTAACACAAGTTTCTCACCCATCTTCTCAGCCATTCGCTCTCTCAGAGTCTTGGGTTTGGGTGCAAACTCGATTCTGCGCTCATGATCATCCAGATCATTGTCGCTGTCTTGTTCTTCATTGCTCGGATCTTCTTCCTGTAGGCTTCCAGGAGTGTGGGGTGAATCCAGTGAGATGTAATCTTGCTGGCCTCTGGCATTTCTCCTTTTCTCTTTAGCAGCACGAATATTTCTAGCATCAGGAATGATGACTGCAACAATTGACAAATTAACAATGAGTAAACAATGACAGAATTTTCATACTTTGGACCATCGCTTCAAACCTCGGGTAGTCTTTGGTCATTTTAGACAGAAAAATTTAATGTTTTAAAGTCCCCCTGTAGACAAGTTGCAATAGTATGAAATGGCTTCGCAAACAAGAAAAAAACGTAGGGCGGGACTTGATTTTGTCGATCGGGAATTGATTGGACGGTTGTGGTGTCATGTGAGAGACAGGTTTTCCCGGCCTCAAGCCAGTAAACGAAGAGAAGAGAATAGAATAGACTCATTTTTTTTTTTATGGCGACTTTAAATTTTGTACTTCAGTGGAATGGTGCGAAACTTGGTGACTTTTCTGGCACTTGCTATATAAACACAGTGGATTTTTCTTACAGCTAAATGGCCCTAAAAAAAAGGCCACCATAGGAAGTAAATGGGGAAAATATTATTTCCAATTAATATTGTGTTTAATTTATACAGAAATAAATGGTGCCTAATTCAGAGACACCATGAGATCCCCTCAAAATATGAATGGAATAATATAGTACATTAATTTCATTAAAAAACGTTATGCTTATTGTATTTAATCTGTTTTGTTCAGATGGTTAATGGTTACTTAGGCAAATGATTTAGTTGAAGACAGAACCTCTTTGTGGTTTTGAAGAACCAGATGAACTTGACATGGTAGAAGAGCTTTCCTCATCATCATCATCACTGTCAGGAGGTATTTCTTCAACAGAAGTATCGGCATCACTGTCAGATTGCAAACTGACATCCTTATTCTTCTTAACTGAAAACAGAATAAGTGTTATGGACCATAACATTCACTGACAGATGAAAAGCATGTCTTCAGATCAGACCTAAGTAGTTATTTCAGTTACTGTACCTTGTAACGGTACAGGAGAATCCTCTTTATTCCGCGCCTGGAACACAACGTCTCTATTGACTGAGCGTTTTAATTTAAAACTTCCCTCAGTGGCTGTAACTTAGAAGTAGCAGTAATGTTTCTTCGTTAAAACGAATCTATTTACCATATAAGTGCATATGACTGGTTATAGTAAAATGCTTACCGTCTTTATCGTCAAAGAAGCTGAGTGTTTTGCTCTTCGACTGGTGTTTTATGTCTCTGGACTGGAGTCTAGTGACTGAGGGCTCCTCATCATCACTGGAGTCACACTCGCGAGCCTTTGAACTGCTTGAAATGCCTCCTCGCGGCAAATTTGCTTTTGAATCTACTTTCTCCGTTTCCTTTCCATCGTCAACACCGCCGAGCTTTTCATTCTCATCTTCTTCACTGGACTCATTTTTCCGTTGCCTAAAATTTCTGCGCGGCTTTTTATTAAACATTTTAAATACAATCCAATGTGAACGTGAATGGTGAAATCAACGTTTTGTAGTGACGTATTTTGTACTTCCTGGTCGTCGTTTAAAAACATTACACAATAAAAGTCTTATATCTGCATAAAGAAAGCCATATTTAATTTGTGTTGTAAAAGTTGGCAAATACCTTACAGTCTATGGCAAATACATGGTAAATGTCTCCGACCTGAGTCTTGAGTGTTTCTAATTGAAATAGAATTTGTTAAGGCTGTTTTCTTCAGCCTATAAGCATTTATACTATATAACAACTGTTTACTTTATATTTTGTTATTGTTTTAATAAGCCTCTGCTCAACTAAAACTGGAAATCCTATCTTTAATGTTTGCTGCCTTATTTGGAATAAAAAAACTTAAATAAATAAAACATGCTGCTAATTACTTTTACAACTAACTGAGGGTGCTTTGTGTAATACTGTGAATTACTGTATTAAAACTAGTCTTTATACTAACAAAAAGGTCATCATAGTGTTGTATTTGGTTAAAAACTATAAAAACTATATGAGGTAAGTTGCTTGCTTTTTAGAATTTTTTTTAGAAAAAAAACCCAGCAAAACAATTCATAAACCCAATCAGAAAATGTGAAAGATAGCATTCAGGAATATTAAACCACTCAATATAAATAATGTAATAAAAAAAAAAACTATAGAAAATCTAAAATGTCTGACAACTTTCCCCAATATCACACTAATGAAAAACACGCATCAGTTCAGTTCAAGCCTTCCCTGACTTTTGCCCATGTATAATAGTGTGATTTCATCATTTTCCACACTTGTTACCCAACAGCCTCTACAAAAATATGATTAGTACTATAGGTTTATTGATCCCACGTGGGAAATTGAAGCGTTTTAGCAGCAATACAAGAAGACAGTTAAGTACTCACAGTTCACACTGTATAACAATAAAAACAGGACAACAGACTATAAAATAAACCCAATACAAATATATACCCTATAAAAAAATCACATACTATACACGTGCAATAAATAAACAAATTTAACCCACATTTAGAAATTAATCAAGTAGTTATATAAATTAAAAAATATATTATTGCGTATTGTAATTATGCTAAGACCATATAAAACAGTGCCAAGAAACAATAATTATTGCACATATTTGTTGAAGTATTGAAAAAAATAACAGTAAAATTTATTCAATTGCACTATTCCTTGAATTTACTGCATTAAGTACAGGTATGAGATGAGCAGAGACCAGTTCCTAGGGTGAAGGGTTATAGATGATAGATGAATTGTAAAGTCTCACAACAGTAAGCATAAATTACCTCCTGTAGAGGTCTCTGATGCACCAGGGCTGGATCAATCAATTGCTGAATGTACTTCTCATTCCAGCATGCATGTCATGGAGGGGGTGTGAGGTATTGTTTGTAATGGACCGCAGTTTGGACATTATTCTCCTCTCAGCAACAGCCTCAATAATATCCAGATCCACTCCAACGTCAAAGCCTGCCTTCTTAATAAGCTTATTCAGCATCTCCAGCTTTAATTCCAGTGCCCCAGTACAATACAGTGTAAAACAGGGCACTAGCATCGAAACACATTGAAGGACCTGAGTCTTCTCAAGAAGTAGCGTTGGCTCTGGCCCTTTTTGTAGATCTCTTCTGTGTTCTTTGTTCAGTCCAGTCTGACATCTATGTGGAGGATTGAGCTTCACTGTTTTGAATCATGTTTGAAACCAATATACAAACCCAGAACAAGCAAAACACATGTAAATACACTTTTGACTCAAAACCTAATAATTGGAGATACAGCCCAAGTAGTCCAATTCTCCATTATAAATCTCCAAAGTGAAGATTGTCCACTTTTTAAATGAAGCAAAAAAATAAAAAAACACAAGACAGCAAATTGGTTTATAAAATGTAATTTTTAAGCATGTTACATAACATACATAGGGCATAAAACATTTTCACAAGGCTTTTGTGAGACTAAAATCCATGGGAAATTGAGAGAGAGAGAGAGCGAGAGAGAGAGGGAGAGAGAGGGGGGAGAGAGAGAGAGAGAGAGAAATCAATCACATACACAATTAAAAAAAAGATAAAAAGGAGAAACAAGGTAATAGTGGTCCAAACTATAATGACACTCTCTGGACAACCACACACCTGTGCACAATGCATTGAAAAGTACTAAACAGAACTTTAATATTGGCAATATGGCATTGATTCCCATTCCAGTGTTCTGGACATACACAGGCAATGTTATTTGCCAACAACACAAATTCAACGCTAGCAGTCAGAAGAAAGATACTTGTTTCTGGACTTCTATCGTTCTTAACATGCGTTATGTGAAATAAATTTCTAGAGTGGGCCATTAATACGTGAATCAAACCATCAAGACCATATTACCACATTGTGCCACAGATCGTGTCAGAACTGGTCTGCATGCTAGTTGGGTACTGCTAAATGCACAGTTTCACTTTTAACATTGCATTACTAAACAAATAAAATAAAATATGCCCTAAGTCATCTTACAAATGGTTTTAATTTCTATGGATGATTTTGATTTCCAAAAAAAAACAAAGGGAACACTAAACAGACCAAAATCAAGTGAAAAACTGTAAATATATAATTAACAGTTTATAAACTGAGGACCGTCAGATACTACATACCACTGCAGATGCTAATATTTCCAAGTAAAATCTGAAATGCACGCCATTTCAACAAACGTCTTTTTTTTTTGTTAAATTTCCATATCGAACTATCTAAAGCGTGACTGACCACCGCTTTCAGTGGAAGTGCACAACCTGTGGTAGTGCTGAGGTGAAACAGGTAAGAGTGTTAAAGTACAAGATACAGTAGGTGTATATGACAACAGTTATCTAAATGCTTTTAATATCCCTGCAATTACTTTTTAGTCTCAGACTTAGCTGTGATGAAATGCATGTCCTTATTTTTAATTTATTCATTAATTTATTTTCCGTTAACTATTACTTTAAGATTATGTTTGTATAAAATGACACTAGTCATACTTTTCTACAGCAGAAACTGCACATTATGGAAGGCCAAGACAAACAAACTAAGGAACAGGGTTTCTCCCCAAATATCTTTCTTTTCTTGTCCAAAAGCTGCACTTGTGAAAAGACTAAATGATTTTTTTTTTTTCATAAACAGCTCTTCATTAATCATGGGTTTGATCTTTACTGGAGGAATTCTGACATGGAGTGATAAGGGAAAGATGTGTAAAAAGGTTGTTTTCTTTGCTGAAGGAGTGTGTAGATTAGTTCTCTCCTCCCTCGCCTCCTTCTCCCTCATCTGGTGCGTTGTCAGATGTCCATAACTGGTGGAAGAAAAAAATTATATACCAGGGTCAGAACACAAACCATGTTATTTTAGTATTACTTATATACCACTATAGTTTATATTTACTTCTTGTTCATTTAACTGTTGTATAAAAGCAGTATCACATTTGCAATCACGCATGTTAACCGGTTTCATCTCTGTGTTTTGAGCTTGATTTGCTGACTGAAGGCATGAAAAGCAGCCGATTGTAGTGCAAAACTTTTAAAAATTAAAATTCTGTCATTAATTACTCTCCCTCAAGTCATTCCAAACCTGTAAGACTTTCGTTCATTTTTGGAACACAAGTGAAGATCTTTTTGATGAAATCCGAGAGCTTTCTGTCCCTCCATTGACAGTCTATGCAACTACCACTTTGACGCTTCAAAGACTTCATAAAGAGATCATAAAATTAATCTATATGAATTGAGTGGTTTAGTCAAAATTTTCCGATCAGTTTATATGATTGTAAACAGAGGGATTTTTCTGATCTCTTAAATCACATCTCTCTGTTTTTACATTTTACGGTATTTCTCCACTCTATTAAACCAAATAAGCAATTTCAAAGCCTCTATACATTTTTAAAACTGTTTGCGATGCCTCTACTCACTATCCCACACCTGTGAGGAAATAAAATGGCTCTGGCGTAACTTACTGTGAGGTTGTCTCTCAGTAGCTGCATGATAAGAGTGCTGTCTTTGTAAGACTCTTCGTTCAGCGTATCAAGCTCTGCTATGGCCTCATCAAATGCCTAAATATGTACAAAAACACATTGTTAAAAATATCCACATCCGTAATGGATAGACAGCAAACATTGTAATTTGAAGCGTACCTGTTTAGCAAGGGCGCAGGCCTTATCTGGAGAGTTAAGGATCTCGTAGAAAAAGACAGAAAAGTTTAGGGCCAGACCCAGACGAATGGGGTGTGTTGGCTGCATCTCTGTCTTGCTTATATCAAATGCTTTCTGGTAAGCATCCTGAGAGTTTTCTATGGTTGCTGTAAAAAAAAGAAAGAAAAGTAAATGGTTAGTCATGCAACACATATTGGGTACAATAATGTCAAAGTAGGGCTCAACAATAATATGAAGTTTCAGGCCAGTGCTGCTTTCACCAATTCTGAATGGCTTCAAAGTTACAAGTCAGTATAAAATCTGTAATATTTTGCATATTATTAATTCATGGAGTTAAGTTAGCTGCATAAATTCTACCTTTTAACAAACTAAATTAACATTGCTAATTTATTAAATATTACTACAAATATTGTAAATGTTTTATAAAATATTGTACTTGCACATAACATACATTGCTAATATATGAAATACTACTGCAAATATTGTAAATGTTTATATATATATATATATATATATATATGTGTGTGTGTATATTACTTGCTTATACAAATATACTGCTAAAAAAATGTATTGTATGTTTTTGTGGTGGGGTCAGTAAAAATATTGGCAACAGTAAAAAATATTTACCGCTCAGGCCTACAGAGCTGCAAAAAGAAGCCTAAAACCAGGGCTTCCAAAAAATTATAATATTTGAAATTTAAAGAAAGAAAGAAAAAAAGGAAAGAAAATGAGCATTTGTATTGAGCGGATGACTCAACACACGAGACAAACTTCCCCTTGTTTCGATGTTTCCAGTTGCGTCATACCAAGGAAAGTCCAGTCCTACATTTTATGCAAACATGTTTGTAAAACCTACAAAACTAGCAGCCATGCATTCTTACCTTTCTTGTCATCTCCTGAGGCAACTTCAGCAAGGTATCTGTAGTAGTCGCCCTTCATCTTCAGGTAGAAGACTTTGCTCTCGGGATTTGTGGAATTCTCAATTAAATATTTGTTCAGCAGCTCCTGTAGAAGAAGAGTAAATGAAAGAAATGAACCGGTGGAAAGGCATGAAGGCTTAGCTAGAGACCATGTTTAGACACTTTCTTCATGTCATTTATTCCTGTCATTTCTCCAATAAAGACCCCAATAAACATCCACAAACCACCAAATACAGGCTAAGTATCAGCTCATCGTCCTGTTAGTGCCGTTACCACAGTTTTAAGGGATTTCCCTCCAAACTTAATTTTAGTCCAGATTTAAACTTAATCTGAGTCTCAGAGGCTAGCCTTCTGCTGGATCTTCCCATCCATCTAAGACTGCTTCAGCAGTAATCTGTGTCAGTGAAAGCAACAGCTTTAAAGTCCCCGTGAACCGGAAGTTGCAAACGACTTTTCTCCAGTGTTGTGACGTTTTTCCGAGAGAAACGGAATACTAAATGAGGCGAAACGGTGGGCGTGGCTTTTTTCTCAACTAGCACCTGATTGGATCTAGAAAAGTAGGTGTTTTCATTCAGCCTGTCTACTGTCAGTTGGAGGGGCGTGATTACGGATGTTAAGCAGACGCCCAAACCGTGAAACCTACGTCATCAGGCAAGGTCCTCCAACGCAGAGGGGAGGGGAAATTTCAGATTTTGATTAAAGATTACGAAGCCAAAAAAATTTTTTGTGTGGATTGACTTGCATGGATGAATTGTTCACCACAAAACGATCAATTTAGGCAAACAAAGTAAGTATGGTCAATTTTGAATTCATGGGGACTTTAAGGCACGGGTAAATACCAGATTAACCACCATACCAAGGATGAGACAGATTACCACAGAAAGGCCAACACAACATCATGAGGTATGACCCACGCCTTACCACGCTATGTTTAAGATCAGGTCAGAAAATGCAACGAGAGCTTAATTTTTCTCTGCTTCCTCCTACACTTCTGTGCATCACAGACACTGTTACAACACAGAAATCATTAGGAAACATATCAGCCCAGCTTCAGATCAGCACACAGTGAACTGCTAGGAGGTTTGATTAAATCTAGGATAGTCCAACATTTTATTGCTCTCTTAGTGATCAAAGGGAAAGAACACCCAAAAATAAAAAGCCATCATTTACTCACCCTCATGTCATGCCAAACCTGAATGACTTTCTTATGTGGTAACAAGTAAACATGTTTTTGGCCATACAATGAAAGTCCAGGGTTTTGGACCCCATTGACTTCTATAGTATCGTTTTTCATAACTTGTTTTGTGTTCCACCGAAGAAAAAGTCATACAGGTGCAGAACGACATGAGTAACTTTTTTTTTTTTTTTTGGATGAACTATCCCTTTAACCGAAAGCATGCAAATCATTTTTTTTGGCTTTAAAGAGTACAAACTGCACCCTAAAATGTCAAAACAGACAAAACCAAAAGCGTAAGAAAACATTCTCCGGCATGAGGGCCTGTTTCTTCATGCTTGCCTGAGGTGAAAGGCCTGCCAGAGCATTTTTTTCATTCTTCACACTTGTCAAGGATTCTCAGCACAGAGACGGCAGTCTTGAAGACCAATCCAGAGAAACAAGGTCAGTGCTATTCTAGAATCCTGTTTCTGACCTAAAATATAACAGCATTTGAAAAGACTACAAACAGATGTACACAAAATAGCACAAAGTTGAGCATCCAAACTAGAAATCTCATTTTGAGACTTTGTGTTAGGCCTAATTTATGTGTATGGGCTTACATTAGTTTAAAATTTTGGGCTTGTTTTTTTTGGGAAGATAAAACATTAAAAAAAACTTTTATTCAGCAAGGACTAAATGAAATTGATTAAAAGACAGTAAAAACGTCTAAACGGTTAAAAAATATGTATATGCTGTTTTTTGTTTTGTTTTTTTACTTTCCATTCATCCGGTTTCAACATGAGAAACAATGTTTCTCAAATCAACATATTAGAATATTTCTGAAGGATCATGTGACGCTTAAGACTGGAGTAATGCTGAAAATTCAGATCACAGCCATCACAGAAATAAATTACATTTTTAAAATATATTCAAATATAAAATATTTTAAATTGTTATAATATTTCACATTATAATATATTACAGTTTTTACATGCAGCCTTTGTAAGCATATGAGACTTCTTTCAAAAACATTGAAAAAATCTTACTGACTCCAACTTTTGAACTGCAGTGTGTTTGAACCAAGCGGCAACATTCTAATCTGAAAAATGAAGCCTACCCGGAAGTGCGAAAAACTGCAATACATCAAAAATCCGCTAGGGGCAGGTCCCAAAAGGGAGCAAATCTCCATAGACCCCATGTTAAACTGTCCGTTTTCACAGCATACATTCATGTTTTTACAGGTTGGTCGGTCCCATGGACTTTTATTGTATTTTTCGATAGGTTCCGAGTGCCTGACAACTGTGAGGGGGGTGAATTTTTTTCTAACTCATTAGTTTAGATTGTATTTAGATATAAAATTTATGACAAATAAGGGCGTGGTTAATGTGACAGCTGATAACGGGCTGCGCCGAGTGGAATTCCTGAAATTTGAAAATTTTCCGGTAAGTGACATTCCACTACTATTTCACGTAGTTAGCACTATTTAGCATCAATGTTTGTGGGCAGTGGCACTGCAACAGTTAGCATTAAATCGCCTCAGATAAGTTAGCGTCCGAGGTACTTTACCTATGGTTATAACCGGTTATAACTGACGTTTGAAACACTGTAAACGCGTCTGCCAAATGAATACATGTAACATAAGAATAGACTGATGTGTCCCACATTGGAGTGTTAATATATTTTGATGGGTTGTACTCTTCAGCAGCTTTGCAGAGAATGTAGTAGCCATAGACTGTAAAAAGTAGCCTAGTCTGCCAGTCGATCTTGTAACGTTACAAATAGCTGAGGCTGCTTGGCTGAAGAGGCGCGTCCACCGGCCGGCTCAGTCTCACACAAAGCCCGCCCTTTTACCCATATATGGATTGGCCAGAAGGTGGGCGGGGTTAGGATTTCACAAGATTTTCAAAAGATGGTGCCACCCATACCCCCCATAAACAGCCTCAAAACCGTTATTCAGAAAGTCTATGGGTGACGTCAGACGCTTTGTCCATTTTTTTTTACAGTCTATGGTTTGAACTAAGGATTGTATACTAGTCTTCCAAACAGCTGACTGGGTTAAAAGTGAGGTAAACTTATCTTTTTATTTAAGCTTTATTTTTAGAGGTGATGCTGTAAAGGGGAGGAGTTTAGTGACATCTTCTCTGTGAACATTTAGCATGCTGTGCTTTAGTGTGGAAACAGTAACTGCTGGACAGTCAGGAATCTAAAACTCTTTCTGAGAAATTGTTTCTAAATCCATCCCAGCTAGAGCCAACATGCTTCTTGTTACAAATTCACCAGATTAAACAATACATTTACTGTCAGACTCCAAATATGTTTAATTGTTGATCATGTACACACACAGGTGAACATCTTTATAAACATTCCCCTGATGTTGTGACAAATATAAATTAATGATAAATGCTGGAAACACTTGGCACTTATTCATTGAGCCTAGTTCTCCCTACTGGGAGTATGAGAGCTGGCAGCATGTGGCAGGCTGTCTGGACAGGTGGGGGTGTGGAACATCCTTGATCCCATAGCAGATTCAACAGTGAGATGAGTCACAGACACACCCTTAGCCATCTCAGACAAGCTGGGAAATTAAGCTCGAGTTCTCACTAAACCGTGCACAGAAACTGGCCATGACTCACTACACAAACAGTTCACCACTCACATGGATTTAGACTGGACTACAGAAAAAACACTGATAACAGCCCCACTGACTTACTAGAAGGAAACTACAGTGACCGACTACTTTCGCTTTCTGGAGGAAGCACTATCTTAATTTTTTTTTTTTTTTTTTTTACAGATATTAAAAGTTAATATTTTTTAATGTTATAGCAGATAATTGATAAATGTAGACATAAAATGGAAATTCACCCTATTTTATAAATGCATGTTATTGATCAATAACATGTCAGTACTTCAGTTTCATCGCAACTTTAGTATTCTATTATTATTTACAAATAATTTATTTCTAATTTATTAAATATTAATTCAAATAAATATATATCGGCTTCATAACGGCATTGGCTATCAAAAAAACAATATCGGTCGACCACTAGTTGCTATGATAGTTATGATGTAAACGAAGGGCAAAGCTTTGCCTCTGCTAGCCTGTTGACTAACATTACAGTACTGATGTAGTTTACTTTAGCTTTTGTAAGCTCTTGCTTGTGTAAGACTGTTCACCGTCCCTTAGGAAAATAATCCATGATATTGTGATTGATTACTGTTTGTATTACCATAGTTTTCCGACAATATGATTAAATGGTGGATGATAACATCGTATCTGAAAGAAAATTACAGGAAAAAAACATACCACTCTGAAACGTCCTGTGAAATCTGTGCTTGCAAAGTCTGTGCTTGAAATCCGTTGTTAGTTAAAATGGTCAGGGTCTGAATCGGGCTCGAAATGGTTTGAAATTGACGCCATCATTAATATTTAGATCGGATTAGAGCTAGCGGTTATAAAGAAGCGTGACAATTCCCGAACACGCCCGCCCCTAAGCGCTGCCAATCACAACACACTGGGCCAGCTAACCAATCACAGCACATTTCGTATTTCGGAAGGAGGGGCTTCGTCGAAAATGACGAGTTCAACCAGACTGCGGAGAGAGGAGCTATAATAATGTAAAATATGTGAAAAATAATACATTTTTGAACAATCAAGCATGAAAAAACATATTCTAGTAAACCCCAAAAACAAAAACAGTAAATCTACAAGTGAATTTAGCCATCACAACATTCAGTAGAGTAAGAAGCATGGTTATTAATTTTTAGATTGGCTAAAGCTTTCATTTAAATGTGTTATTAAATAATTAAAGTTTTAAAAGTTTAACTTAAGAGAGCGTTAGATGAGTAAAAATAGAGGAAATAAGCATGTACACATTAATAGCCAATATCGACCAATATTTATCTAATACCGATAAATAAAATATATCAAATATACCGTATTTTCCGCACTATAAGGCGCACCGGATTATAAGGCGCACCTGCAATGAATGACCTATTTTAGAACATTTTTCATATATAGGGCGCACCGGTTTGTAAGGCGCATAAGATACTGCAGTCAAGCGTTTGACTGGGTTTGCGTTATGCATCCACTAGATGTGCTAAAGGGAATGTCAACAAAACAGTCAGATAAAGTCAAACTTTATTAAGCGTTCTGACAACTCCGTTCACTCCCATGGTAACGTTGTTCAAACGTTAAAGGAGAACTCGGGTCAATTTTAACATTGAGCTCATTTTGTTGTAAATTTGGAGTGCTGTCGGTACAGATAACAACGACAAAAACCGGTGTTGCCTACACCGTGTTATCCTCTTTTTAAAATGTGCACCCTGTTGACTTAAACGGGGCAAGTTTTAAACCTGCTTTTAGCCTCTTAACAACCTTAATGTGTCATTACAAGTGCACAGCCATGTGAGTGAACACGGCGAATCTGACTGCAGTAAATGTGAAAGATATGAATAAAAATGATGTTTATTCAGCCAGCTCACATACCCGTATTTTCTTCCTGTTTTCAGTCGAAGTCCACAGTAGGCGATTGTCGAGTGCGCGCGCGCGATCATTGGTAACTAAGCAACAGTGGAGACTCAGACTGTCAGCCGATGACGGTGCTGTGTGGTGTTCTGAGAATATCAGCTCAAATGGATAGTTCATCCGAATCAGATGTTGAACACGTGGAGGAGGTTTGATCGCGCGCGCGAACTCGACAATCAACTACTGTGGACTTCGACCAAAAACAGGAAGTAAATACGGGTATGTGAGCTGGCTGAATAAAGAGATTATTCCTGCCTTCGTGAAAGCTCGGATCACAGTTGAGACTGATATATCAGCCCAGGCATCCACGATCCATTGGCAGATAGTGGCGTAAGTCGCCGGCGCTGTCTCCCCGTCTTGGTGAACGTGTGTTCACCATCCATATATAAGGCGCTCCGGATTATAAGGCGCACTGTCGGTTTTTGACAAAATTAAAGGCTTTTAAGTGCGCCTTATAGTGCGGAAAATACGGTAATTAAAATCCGCTAATTTGTCTATATCTTACAAATTTGATCAAGTATTTATAAACCCCCTAGATTAGATATCACCTCTAGTTTTGGCATCTGCCATTGAAAAAACAAAACACATTTTGGTTGACCACTGCATACATAAAACAGGGTCTTCTTTATGAATACAACACTTTTTCTGTTGCACAATAGCAGACTCGTCCTACCATTTCAGCACAGGCTATGAGAAAATAAACCACAGCTTCCATTTTTAGAACAAACCTCCTTCAGGCAATGTTAAACATTGTATTTATTTAAAGAAACAAAGTGTCTGAGAGGATGAGGCTGAATTGTTCCACCAGTAGCACAAGCATCAAGAATGAGGAACTGCACAAATCACTATTACCCAGCAGCAATTCAGACAGCGTTACTAAACTGCACCTGAACACACCTTCACACACACCCACCTCTGACCTTTGATCATCTCATCTCTCTGTGGACAAGGCAAAGACAAAGCCAGGCACATGATTTGACTATATAAATAAAGGCTTCCCTCTGTGGGAAGTGTCTAACAGGAAACACTTCTCATTATCTTCATGCCAATTACATCAAGAGAGGTTTGCTTTACAAAAAGGTATTAAATACAAACTGCACACCTTCTAATTGGACTTATCACTACATAAGCTAGATATAAAAAATAACGAGACTGTGACTGTCCTTGTGCAAGACTGTGCATGCTCCCCTTAATATAGACACCCTCGTCTCCAGCGAGAGCCAAAACTGGGCTGCTGTTCCATCAGAAAAGAGGACATATTCTCTGCCATGTTATGTGTATTGCACATATGTGGTCTACAGAGGAACACATATTCTGATATATACAGATATGTCTATGATTGAATCACAGCAGTGCTAATGTTCAGAACAAACGCACTTTGCTTGTGTGATTAATTCAGCAAATACCACTTAATGGTACAGATTCTATTCAAAATTGTACATTATTTTGGTCTTTGGTGTGCTGTGCAATATATACGTAACATTGAAGATTAAAGTGAAACAATAATCCACAGTTAAATGTGAAGAAAAAAAAATTCAAAATGGCAGCAATGGAATCTTTGTATTATTTGTATACTGATTTGGATTGCATGATTTAGGGGGAAATTTGAATAGTGATTTTTCTGATAATTCTGGTTTTAAATGTAATAAAAAAAAATCAGCTGTTATTTTGGCAAAACACTGCCAGGAGCCCTTGAAGAAGCCCTCTCATTTGTTGACAAGAGGCGTTTTATAAGTACTTCTTATTACAGGTTTGGGAAGATTTTTGGCACATAAAGTTATAGTGAAACTCAGAAGACATGTAGAGATTAGTTTGCATTAGGGGCAGCTTTTTACAGTGACACTAGATCACAAGCTGCTTGTGTTTAAAATGTATATCACTCTAAAACACATAGCGCGTATATTTAATTATTTAAACTGCAAATTTGCATATTGTGAGCCATATCGTGATTGATTTCGATTAATCGAGCATTTTGTGCTTTGATCTTTTATGTAGTTTTTTTTTATATATTTGTATTTTACTGTCTATACAGTCCTTTGGTCTACAGCGTAGTTGTAATGGGCTCTATAAATCTCAAGTCTCAATAGAGCTTGAGACTTGAGCCCTATTACAGACATTTGCATTCTTCATTGTGTGTAGGGTTTCCTTTCATACTGTTCATCCATTGATATCACAAATTATGGTATTTAAAAACGTTACACTATGTTTTTGCATTGTATGGACATGCATACTCACCAACACATCGTTGCAGATGTCTCGCAGTTCGGACTCCACTTTCTCCCGGTATTCCTTCACCATCTGCAGTTTCTTGTCGTTTCCTTCAGTCTTCTGCTCGATGCTGGAGATGACCCTCCAGGCAGACCTCCGGGCACCTACCACGTTCTTATAGGCGACGGATAGCAGGTTTCTCTCCTCGTTAGACAGCTCGGACCCAGCTTCAGTCACCAACTTCATACAGGCTGCCATATCGTCATAGCGCTCGGCCTGCTCGGCCAGCTTCGCCTTCTGGATGAGCTCTGTTCTGTCCATCCTGCTGCTTTTCTTTAAGTCTGTGAGTGTTTCTAGGTCTATGGGACACTCGACTGATCAAAGGAGGGGAATGAACCGCTGCTTAATCCCTAGAGACGCTGAGGAGGAAAGATAATGACAGTCACACTCCATATATTGATTAGAGAATCATTTATGTGAACGAATCATTCACTTCTATACACTGAAGTCTCTCCCCTTTGAAGTGTGTGAGTGCTTTAGCTGTAGCACAAGCAAATAGCATTTGAGTACAAGAGGTGTAGCATATCATCAACAAATACAGCCTTTACTGAACAAGTCCATGTTAGGAGATCAGAAGATGTCTAACAATGAACTCTTGTCGTAAATGACTGAATAACAGAATCGGTTGAGAGAATAGTTCAATTCCTCGTTCATACCACGTCAAAACACGCCATTTTTTTCGCCACCTACAGGCGAAACAATGCAAATGTTAGAAAGAATCAGTGAACAAATCTTTTTTTGGTGAATGATTCAAAAGATTCAAATCACTGAAATGAGACAAAATCGCTACCAATGCTCTTCCGTGTGAATCTTACACTTTCATTCTCAACACACGGACTAAAAACACGGATATCAGCCGAGATTAATGGATGCGTCTTAAAAGTGAGCAGCCCACCAAAACAGACAGCATTTCTGGGTGCGTTTTGACAGATGCTGTCTAGATAGGCAGCTCACTAGGTTTGGAGACAAGGGCAGGGTGTGTGTGTGTGTATGCGGCTTAACACATCTGTGTCAGTGTGATCCGTATAGCCCTGCCCTGTTCACTAAAATATCATACATATATACCATACATATCTCGAAAGTGGACCCGATTTAAAGTACACAAAGTAGGACATCGCAGTTCAATATAACTTACCGATCACAATCATACCGAGTCAATTTGGATCAATGAAATCCAGCCTGCTGATTTCCGTAGCAATGAGGTTAACATTACTGCTCATTATACAAGGCGCTATTTTGACAATTTCAGCCGTCAGATATCCACATCATATCAACATAAATATTAGTTTATACTATCAATACAGCTCGATGTAAATCATCTTCAGGATGATGTAAATCAGCTAAAAAAAAATTTTTTTTTAGAAAATCCATTGTAGCGATGTGACGACCCGCCTTCAACAGCGATGGGTCTCATCTTGTCCAATCCATGTTATAATTTTGGACAACAAATATTCAATCTGCGACTACAAGTATCGCACATCAAAGGGAAATAAATGTTTACTACATTGTAATAAGCAAATCAACATTTTCCCCCCTGATCGAAATGGACGCAGTTTGGCAGCCCCTCCTGCCTCTCAACCGAGCAGCGCGGTTATACTGATTACGCCGTCTATTGCAACAATATAAATTATATTTAAGAATCTAAGCTTGTATATTAAATAAACATAACACCTTAAATCTATCAGATTGCATCTCACCTCTCGATCAACGGTTGACTCCAACGGATTGATAGCCTTTGAGCTTGGATGGTTAGGGGAAAAATGTAGTAGAGAAAGACAATCGAAAGTGTTACCGTAGGACGTCGCTAATCCCGCCTGTCAACCAATCAGATGCCGCGCTTCGCTACTATAACGCGTAATTCTTCAAATGATCATCCAATAGCAGCTCAGCGCGGGGAATGGAGGCGGGCCGAAGCGAATAGGTTCGGTTGACCCGTAGACTCTGACTTGTAGCCACGGGGTTTCCTCCAATTAGAGCACGGGGGATGACGTCACTATTGCTATGGTGATCCCCCCTCCTCCTACTCATCCCCAGCATCACCATCAGCATCATGATTGGGAACTGCCTGGATGCATCAACAGCAGATCTAGCCTACCTACTGAGACCCAAATACCATCTCTCTAATTAATCAGATTGGAAAGATAATTGCTTTGCTTCTTCAAAGGGCTAGTTGAGTTTATACAAGGTGTGTTTGGGGGTTTGAAAAAAATTTACAGTATTCAGCTCTATGATAAGAAAAGATGCTGAAATTCCAGCACAGATTCAAAGAGAAGGACATATTTCTGAACACAATAATAATACACAAGCACATATAGCATGTAGAAATAAACAATAAGGTACGAGAGGCCAGTACACATTGAGAATACAGACATGGCTAAAGGACATCATTACAAGGTCATAATTGCAACACATTTAACTGCGGCTTTAATCACAATACACCAAGGCATGCAGTGATTTTTTGCTTCTATAAAACCGGTATAGGCTACTTTTTAAAAATATTAAGGACGCAATGTTTTATTAAAATGGTAGCAAATTCATTAAGTGGCATCCTTCCACTAGAAGACAGTCCTTGACGTAACACAACGTTGCTATGCAACAAAAAATAACAGTCTGCTAGGTAATAAACAGATATTTCGTCTGTTACCATATTATTATGGTGTCAGTTTTATGTTTTTGAAAGAAGTCTCTTATGTTCACCAAGGCTGCATTTAGGCTATATGATCAAAAATACAGTAAAAACAGTGATATTGTGACGTTTTATTTCAATTTAAAATAAATGTTTTCTAATTTTATATAGGATATATTAGAATGTAAGAAGCAAGACATTTATTAGCCAGCCTGACCATCCCTTAGTTCCCGCAATGGGCATTCTAACTTTGTTGAAGCATGTTTTATTCTCCACAGTCAATTTCCTGTGAGGTAACAAGAGTCAGTGTAATAGGGTGGGGCTGAATGTATGACAAATTCTTACATCTTAGCTTTGTCTGAACAGGTTAAAGTAGTCATCCATTTCAGCACTCAATAATCCACATAAGTTAGTAAAACATGCTTCTTTTCTTGCCGAAATAATTAAAGAATTGATGAAAGCCAATTCAGAAATTAAATTAAACAGGTAATTAATCAGATATTACCATAGGAATTTTAGATGTACTTAGACAACTCACGCCCTACTTGGCTTTAAACCAGAATCTCAGGATTTCACCCTTCCATAACCTGCATGGGCGAAGACCAGGCTCAGCTCAAAGAGGAGAACGCTTGTTTAATCTAAGTTGAATGGTGATGTGTTAAACTCCAGCAGGTCATGTCATGCAGAATCCTACAGATACAACCTGGTAACGTGTGGGCTATTAATGTTTGTTTGACTTTTTTAAATATTATTTCATGGACTATATATATATATATATGCATTAAACCGTCAACTCATTGTTACCAGAAACTGAAATTTGTATACGAGTGAAATCTGCTGTGATATTGGATCAAGTTGCAGCATTGAGCAGTCTGTCGGGATGGTGCTGTCACTGTGGCTCACAGTCACACCGCCTGAGGGGAATCAATATGTGGCGTCAGAGGTCTGTCAGAGAGGAACAAAGACATTCGCCAACATATAACAAAGTCCTAAAAATGGCTGTAAACAGATAATAAGAAAACAGACAGACAACAAGATTTTCTGACTGTATTGACTATTCCCTCAAAGACCATGGTGGTTGAGGACTGTCCTGCCTGCAGAAGGTCTGTTCAGTTAAACCTAGACTGGCTTTCAATGTAGCCTGTGGTCTTAGAGAGCCATATACAGTAGCAACATGGAGGTGTTAAAAGAGCTGTTTCACATGAAGCGAACAATCCGCCCACCCATAAGCAAAAACGTCAAGCTGCAAGTAAAAGCTCAAACAAATGGTCAGTGTTGCGCTTATTATCCTGTCCAAATTTCCTCCAACCCTATTAAACAACACCGTTTACATTTTCACAGTCTACATTTCACACAGTAACAACATGATCAGTTTAACAAGCAGGCCCTGGTTCAACACATTCATCCATCTTTACTTAAATTAGATTCTGTTCTAATTACCATATGAAAAATACAATAACCTTGTCTCAGTGGATACATCAAAGGCCTTGCTGAAAGTGCTCAAACCTGGAGAACTGATTATCTTATTGCTTTCCCACTGTAAATGAGGAGACTGGGGGGATGTAGCAGTTACGTAGGTGGGTGGGCTCGGGGAGTTGTGTAGGCAATCTGATTGAATGAGACGAGGGTGTATTTCGTACTCTGCATGGCTGTGTGTGAGTGTGTAGGAGTGAGGGGGGGTGTAATTGGCCCTTGGCACTCTAATTTTCTGTCCTTTCACCATTGTTATCATTGTCAGTGAGAATGTAACGTTGGATCTACTACTACACAGCATTAACACAGCAACAAAGAGATCCTTTCTTTTCTTTTTCTTACATCATTTGTTAATGCTAAAACCAATTCAAATTTGGTCTATTTACTTTCTTACTATTTAATTTGCATTTGACTTTTCTTGTGCACAGTTCAAATGTATACTCTTTTATTTCTTTCTTTATAAATAGCTTCTTCTCTTAATATTTTATCAAAATGTAAAACATTTCCTGGTTTTAAATGACTTTCCTTTTTGTATGACATCACAAATCCCTCCTAATTTCCAACTCCTTCTCTCCAACTGGCAACTCTAGTAAGGAACTCCCACTTTTCACAATCCATTTCCCAGTAGAAAAAAACAAGTCCTGTCCTACATTTTTTTCTCTCAGAATATTCTATTGCACTTAGGAAAATGTCACTTTACGACACTTCACATCGATTTTAAAACAGTGATACAGCAACAACAATACAGTAACACTTTACAATAAGATTCTGTAACATTAGTTAATGCAGGTATATTGAAATAACACTGAGAAAAACTTTTACAGCATGTAATAATATTGGTTAATTGGTCAATTTCTACATATAATTTTTTTTAAATGGTAATTGTTAGTGTGATACCTAGTGCATATTTTTTTCCTCTACCACTCATGGCGAATAACACTTATGGGCTTTTAATGACACACCAGAAAGGCAACAAAAAAAATAAAAAAAATAATCGGTGCTATATGAGAGAAATCAGAGAAAAATATCTGTGGCCCTTTTTTGCCCAAAACTTCAACTCTTTTGATTTTGGCACCACCCCTCTGGTAATCTGTCCATGAGCAGGAAACAAAAATGTGAACACACATTGTTCATTTACATATAGGGTGAATAAATTCAGGTTGATTGGGACACTTTTCCTCAGTCATCTCAATAGCAAAAAGTTTCCCAATCAACCTGAATTCACTCCTACTACCAACATTGTAACAATGCAAGCTGGCTGAAAATCAGCTAATTATCCTTTAATTGCTAATTACATTTAAAGATTGTGTGTTGCTATGCAAAATAAAATAAAATAATGCATTTCACTGCATTGCACTAGCATTATTGAAATATATGAGTACCGCTCTATAAATAATTCACACACTAAGTGCAGAATGCTCAAAGGACCTTAACCACACAATCACATGTGTAAATGCATGTGTGTGTGTCAGTCGGTGTGTGTGTTTGCATGCTCTGTCTTAAGCTTAGTCTTAATGGTTCCTTTGCATTTAAGTCATTCTGACCCCTGTCTTTCATTTTCTGGGATTCACTGCACACTATAGGAATCCATCATAATGCAGGGCTGCCAACTCTCACGCATTCAGCCACACATCCATATTCTCTCACGCAGTGAAAAAAACATAGCGGGGCAAAGAGGACATGCACTGACAGACAAGACACAGTAGGTTACTTTTGATGTAATAAAGTCTCAGCTTTAAAAAAAATCAAAAGTTTTACTACGAAATTCAAACAATTAATACCGTTTTGGCGCTCTTAATGTGTCGTGACAGATCGCTGTATGTATCATCTCTTCCTCTTTACTGAGTTACAGCACCAAATAAACACGAATGAACATTAGAGGGTATGTAGAAAGAACCAGTACATTAGCTACAACATAATGAAATGTATCGCTCAATCAGTGTTTCAACCGCGGATAAAACAGCTTGTAAACCTCAGAAAAGTCATTCAATGTACATAAACTATAGTTTAAATATATTAGGCCTATATTTTTTCATTTCATGTATTTATGTATTCTCTTTTCATGGTAATGCAACACGAAATGCCACAACAGCAATTTAACAAATCCAACAAACACAACAAAAGTACATTCTATGACAAGAAGAACAGGATGAAGAAAAAAAATCTTATAAACTCCTACCCCATTCTTATAATTAAAAAAATTACAAATTAGATGGCCTCACAGACATGACAAAAGATAACAACAACAACAAAAAATAACAAAATAGCCCAGACCAGATATAATTTCAATTTTAACAATTTTCCCTTTTTTATTTTTGTATTATTAATTCTGCTTACACAACACTAAACAAACAAAAACAACAATGATGCAATGATGACAACTCTAGCAACAAAAACAACAACGAGACCATCATTGTTGTTATAATTTTATCAATTTTCACATTCATCTTTATATAAATTAAGTATCTTCTGTTTATACTTGTATTTAAATTGTAGAATGTTTGAACAACATTTTAGATCATTTTCTAGAAAATTCCATCTTTTCACACCAGAAACTGAAACACACATTTGTTTGAGGGTATTTCCAGCAAAAGGTTGTTTAAAGTCATTATTTCTTCTGCTTGTCTCACTATAGTAAAAAGGGTTTGCAGTCCATGCGGTAACAGGCAGTGTTTTGCTTTATGAAAATCTTTGATTCATCACAGAGATCATTAATATATAAAGTAAATAAGTT